TCCATGGAAAAATTGCATAGTTTTTTCATCTGATAAAGCATCTTCAATGATTGGGGCTAATAAAGGTGTTCTTGTCACCTGATAAATTTGGCTGCTAAAAGAGCTTCTCAGGCGATATGAGTTAGCTTAGGATTTTTTTAGTTGATATTTTTTATTACTTGAAAAAAAGTTCGAATATTCTTGAGATGTTCAAAGAGTGTCAAAAGCTGAGTGACCTAGATAATCACAAAAGTATGTTTCAACTAGATGGTTGTCTCCTTTAGCTGTTGTTGATAAAACACTGGAGCAATGGGAATCATTAAAGATCTTTACTTAAAAAGAAAATAATTCTTCTCCAAAATGTAGAAGCATCAAAAAAAATGTTTGAAGATTCAACAACAAATCTATACTTGTTTTTTTCTGTAGAATGTTTTGCCCATATTCTGCAATTCTAATTCAAAACTGCAGACAGATTCACCAATGATACACTGTCTTCGAAGAGAGATGATATCTTTGTTGACCTCACTGATAGCCCGCTTTATAAAGCCCATTGCTGTTAAAGAAGCAGAAAGCATATTTCCAATTGAATTTGGAAATAAAAAAAGTGCAATGAGGATTTAGTCTTTGGCAGTCAAACAAAGCTATTTTTGAAAAATGTTTCTCTGTGGGAAAAAGAAATTGACACTTTCTATGAGAGAGTAAGAAATTTTTATTCCCTCTCATGTTCATATATTGTTAAAAAATTTCCTCTCAGTGAGGAAGTGCTTCAGAAATTGCAGATATCAGCTTAAGAAATGATAAGTCGTTAATGAATTGAATATTTCCTTGATCTCTTTAGGAAAGACAATAATGAAAAACGAGGTCTCATAGAAACTGAATTTTTATTGTTTCAGATTGAAATTTTCACTGATGAAGTAGTAAAATGTGAAAGGGTGGATGCAGCCTGGAACATGATTCAAAATATAACTGATCATACGGAAAACAAAAAATATAAGACCTTGTCAGAATGTATGAAAAAAAATATTGATACTACCCCATGAAAAGGAAACACTATCACTGTTTCCTTTTCATTCGGCTTGCTTGTGAAATCGATGTTTGACCTGGTTAAGTGAGTTGTTATTTTCTGATCATTTTGTTACAGTTTCTTTTCTAAATTGGTTATTTGTATTTCATGTTTTTTCCTGGACTTCTATACAAAACCATCGGGATACTGAGGGAGTTAATATAGGCATTTGCATCTCCTTCAATTAGAAATGGTTTTGTTTTATGGTTACCGGGACCGGTAACCCCTGAAGACGTCGGCTTCGGTGGTCAAATTTTTATTACATAATTGATCCACTTATTTTCATTTTTTAAAAACAAAACTTGTTTTATTTTTATTGATTTTGTGAGATATCATGTTAAAGATATATGCAAGATGTTAAACTAAGTTAAAAATTTAGTGAATTCTTTGAGTTTAAATTCATCGAACTCTTTTACTCTTATTTCAGATTTTTCCAAGAGTATGGATTTCTCAACATTCCAAAAAGAATAAAACAAATTTAGAAGCTAAAAAAGTATGTTGGATGTATAAGAAATGCTGCACGCAATGCAAAACTTCATGTAACTGTGAAAAATGTCACAAAAGATACCATAAAAAAAATATTTTCCTCCGTCAAAAACCTGCTTTAAGAGGAGAAATAAAAATTAGCATTTGACATTCCCACATTACAACATATGCTGAAGCTTTAAGAATGTTATGGGTTAATGATGAGGTAAATATTTTGTTATACCTTTCTTGCACTTAGTAATTCTAAAAACTAAATGATTGTATTTTCACCCCAGGTTAAGGATTTGTTTGATGACTATTTTTCAAGTGGTATGACTGTAGCTGAAGCTCTGAGATTTCAAGAAAATTCTTGGTAGAAGAGGATTTTACAAGCCTGGCAAATGCAGCAATAAACCCTACCTGTGAGCAAATTAGATATTTACATGACTGCTGGAGATGTGATAATCTGGGTTCTTTAGTAAATCCTTTTGAAAAACTTAAAGAAAAAATTTCTTTCTACGTAGCTAATAGTGAATAGTATGTTTATATTGACTTTATGTTCAGCTTTTTTTTTCAAACACCTTTGAAATTTTTCTACAGTTTTCTTTTTTAAATTTTTTTTATTCTAAATACTACAATCTTTTTTCTGCTTATAAATTTAGATTTAGTTTTTAACTTATTTCTAATTTCCATCAATTCTTAATAATTATTTATGCTCCATACGAAACAATGCCAGTAATTGGACATTTAAGCAGCATATTTTTTTAAAATTTTTCCAATGAGTTTTTTAAGAAGAAAATATAAGTGACAGAAAGAAAACATATATTAAATGTTTTGATTATGATTATATTATAAGAAACATTACTGGAAAACAAAAAAGCTCTAATCTGGAAAATGCTAAAAAAAACAACTTTTTTTTTATTGAGAAAGGCTTATTATTCCTAATACTTTATTTGCACACAATATCTGTACTCTAACAAGGTTCTAATTTTTTTTTTATAGTTCAAATGGAACAGTACATGTCCAATAAAGAGATTGAAATCAACGAAAGAGCGAAATGTATGAAGAGGAGAAACCGGTACCTCATGGAGAACATCTCTGATATCCGACGTAAAAAATTTAGATATCAGTAAAAAAAATTTCAAAATTTTTCTTTGTCATATTTCATTATAAAATTTATGCCACTAACATTAAATTGCTAAATATTGATGCTTACTTATGTTAGACAAATATGGAATTTTGTTAATGATCCAGGGAAATAAAATTCCTTTAATTACCACCATAGAAATATATTTTTTTAAAAAAGGGTCATTAAGAATGATAAATTCTACCATTTTTTGGTATAACATTTACAAGCCGTTTTTTTTCCCCTTGCACTTAAGAAAATGAGTTTTCATTGGAACGATTGTTCCAACAAAGAGATTCCAAGATACTAAAAGTAGAATATTTGTTGGTTCCACAGGAATGACTCAGCAAAACAAGTTTTTATAATGATTGACCATCATAAACCTGTCCCGAATTCCTAAATTGGGGTAATGGTGGTTTTGATAAACCTAACATTTGATTTCCAAGAAACCATGAAGGAAATTTCTGATGGTGCAACATGAACAAACCCTCAAAACAAGTTGCTTTTCTGATGATGGACCATCATAAATCTATCCGAATTCCTACCTTGGGGTGATGGTTAGTTATGTTGGTTACCATCAAAGATTATGTTGGACCATCAAAAATTTTGACTGGGGGGGGGGACCTTCTCCAACAAGAAAAGTCTTTTCATCCATCCGGACAAAATTTCTGAAGGCGCCCGGATCCTCTAATTTCAATTCAGCCAATAAAGAATGATAAGCACCCATTTTATTGGGACGCAATAACCACTCTCTAGACCATTTAGATCTTTTATTTTCATAGCTGAAGCCGCAACAACAGCCATAATTGTAGCGGAAAGCGCAATGATCTCGTCACTCATTTTATATATTAAGTAAATGATGTGAATTTTCGGAGCAAGAGCCATGATTTGGCTTTACCGCGCCTAAAACTAGGTTAAAAGTTNTGCATGTTAATATTCTCAATATTATTCTTGTATGTATCGATTTATTTATACTTAATAAATCTCAGATGCTTTTGGATATTAGATAGTAGGACCCTATTTTGAATATTAGCTAACGTTACATCTTATTAAAATTGAATTAAATTTTTATTTAACCTAAAACTATTTTAATGTATACTTGATTTTCTTTTATTTTAAGATGGTTTGTTTAGATTTAATAACTAAAGAAAATTTTATTCTCATATTTGAATTGTTGTGAACAACGTTTCATTATTTTATCACTATCAGTAATGTTTTTGTGTATTACAGAAATATGGCAACTTCCAAAATAGATAAAAAAGCAATGAAAAGGGCCTCTACAGAACTGGCAGCCGAAGGCTTTAAATGGCTGGCTGAGATGGAAAGTACTTTTATAGAGCTGTTTAGAAAGTATGAAAATATTTGGAATGTAAAAAATCCTTTGTATAAACATAGAATGCTTCGACGAGTAAGTTTCGACGAAATAGTAAGAAGTTGGTCATCGATTATCCTCTGCATGCAGCAGAATTTACAATTGGTGAGTATTTAAATCTTGATTAATAGTTTTTAAATTGTGATTATATTTGAAGTGACACATATAATTAAATTTTATGTTAAAAACTAAAATGAGCTTGTAAAAAATGGATGCTAAACATTAATTTATTTTTATATGATATTTTATGATATCAATAATATAAATTTGTGCAGTTGCAGAAAAGTGTGAATAAATTACACCTTCAACATCTGAAAAAATAAATACCTATGTAAATAAAAGTATATTTATTTAGGATATTAATTCTGAAGTGTAACAATTCTTACTATAATAATTAGAAACAGGGCATTTATGGAATATAATTTTAAATAGCTAAACCAATTTCTAATTCTAAGAGACCCTGTTAAAAAAATTGGGTTTTTATGTGTTCAGCATATTAATGATATATTAAAAGAGATACAATAGTAAAGAAACTAGACTTAAATTCATCTTACATGAGCTGACTTATAAAATATTTAATATAATGATACACTATAATTTGATAGCTTACAATACACATAGTATTGTGACAGACTTTGTAATCATCAAATTATCATACATAAATACCATTTAAAATACATTACAAACTTAACATTTACTTTCATTAAAATAATAAAAATAAAATACCAATCTTAATATTGATTTCCTTGCTCAATTTGAATATAATCAGCATATGTGATTTTTTGTATTAAGTGTTATGTAGTATGTTAATAATGAAAGAAAATTTTAAGTTTCTTTTTTATATTAATGAATAGAGAAAAATCGTAACTGTAATGTGGCATAAAATTCAAGGAATTTAATTATTGTGGGATATACATATATTCAAACAAGATGCATTCAAAATATAAGCTAACATGTGTACATACCCCCAAACAGTATTAACACTCGATCAAAATATCCGTACATATATAGATACATCCAAATATTTTGAAAAATGTCATGATATTGTCAAACCTTCCTTTTATTTTACTAACTTTAGCTCTTTTTTTTTATAGAAAAGCTACAAAACAAATATTCAAAGCTAAAATATCAGTTTCAGCGAAATATTAAAAAAATTAGACATCTAAAAAGTGGTTCTGGCTGTGAAAGTATCACTGTGCCATGGATGCATTTTAATGCTCTACAATTCCTTGATGGAGTTGATGACAGCTTTTCTACTTTGGATGGTGATAAGCATAAATCAACCCAGGTATAATTTTATAAGTTTATTATTTTATTTCAGTTTTAACTAAAACTGCTTATTTTAGTTTTAACTAAAATACTGTTATAAAGTTTAAGAAATTATTTTGATACTTTTCCTGATTACAAAGGTCTATATGTGATCATAGTAAATTATTGATACTTGCTGTTCGAAAGTGTAAAGCATCAGGTGTACAATAATTAAAATGTTTCATGAAACCCACTTTTATTTTCAAGATATTTTTAAATATTCAATAAATCTTAAAAATTAAATGACTATCAACATTAAATAAAATCAGTTTTCGCGATGAATTTTTATTTATTATAGAAAAGGATGTATACTGATTTTAAATATACATACACGTGTGTATATAGCTATTATCTCTTCATTCTACTTTAACACTTAAATGAACATTTAATTCATTTTTGGTGGTGTTGGTGCTAATGTATTAAAGCAGTATAAAATCTTATCGAATTTTAGAAATTTGTTTTGGGATAAATTCAAATTTTAATGGAGAATCTAAAAGGGTAATAATAGAATAAAAAAAAACTTCTATTTTTCTCTTTTTCATAAAATTAAATGGCACTTCTTTGTCAGGTATTCTGTTATTAGTCATTGTTATAAAATAATGTCATGTATTTACTCGAGCTATAATCATCAACAAATATTTTTTTTCTTAATTACCCCATAGTCTTAATGAGTTATGTTTAATTTTGACAATTAATGCATTAATTTTTTTTTTTTCAGAACGAGCTGACTTTCATGTATAATAAAGATCAGGAGGTAGAATCCATTTCACATTCTGCCGGTATTGATCCTGATGTGAGTTTCATTTCTATGGAATGTTTTGAGGATGCCGAAAGAATTCCTGAACGAAATATGGAGGAAGAGAGGAGGGATTCTGCAGAGGAACCAGAACCCTCATTCTGTGGTGAAGTTTCTTCTCCCAAAACAAACCTACCAGAACCTCCACTCCCTAGTGTATTTCCTTCTGGTGAAAATTCTACACGAGAAAATCACCAGGGCGTTTATAAGCGAGCAGCTTATAAACGCAAAAGAAAATCAAATGCAACTTCAAGTGATGATTTTCTTGATGAAGCGGTTAAAGCATTAAAAAAAATTCCTCCTAAGCAGGAGGATTCCATGGAGGACGCTTGCGGGAAGTACATTGCCCACATTCTAAAGTCAATACCTGATTTGGAAAAGGCCAGAAAGCGCAAAAAAAAACTCATGAAAACCGCATTTAAATTTTTATTGTAAATTTTAAGATTCCATTAAAAGGTTTTGATCTACTCAATTTACTTGTATTTTTTTTTAATTCATTTTATAAAGATATCGTGAATTGATTCAAATTAATTTAATTTTTTGTTTATCTTTCAGGCCTAAAATCTACTTGTGTATAATACATACAATTTATTAAAATAATGTTTTCTCTATTTGTGAAAATTAAACTATTAATGTTTAATCTTTGAACAATCGCTTGCAAAATTTACAGTTGATGCTTGTTTCATTGTTTTCTAACAATGTATAATTAGTTTATCTTCTGAATTAAAAGTGACGCTAGTGATTCAGAATCTTAAAAAATAAATAAATCCTTAAATAAATTATATATCAAGTACAAACCAAATAAACAACATTTGTCAAATTGTTATTGGAAGAAATCCTTATTTAAAATTCAAATTAGCTTATACAATAGCAGTTCTGTAGTTTCTCCTAAAAGGAAAAATGTTAAATACAAAGAATAAATCAACATCCACTATCGGCGGCACCACCCACCACGGAGTCCAACTCAGGGGATGCGAGAAATAGATAGAAATCTGTTACTCAACAACAATGCTAGCCAATAGCTATACGCCCGAAAGTCACCCATGAAGCAGCCTCCACCCTTAACGAGGTGTCCAGCAAGTGACCTCGGGCGTGACCCTAGCCAACAGATGACATTCGTGACTGGCCGATTGATGCATACAGGCCAATATGCACCTCCCGTTTACCTGAATGAATGAATGTAGGGTTTAGTGGCACAAGGTCCAAATGAGGACATGCTGCGCTAAACAGTACGTTAAAATAGTTTAAAAGTCTAAGTGCATTC